GGTTTAGGGTTTAGGGTTTCGCGCTTGGGGTTTGGGTTAGGGGCTTAGGGTTTAGAGCTTAGGGGTTTAGGGGTTTAGGGTTAAGGAATTAGGGTTCAGTGGTAGGATTTAGGATTTTAAACTAGGGTTTAGGAAATTTCTTGCAGAGACGGGCTGGGTTGCAGGCTCGCACTTGCAGCCATGGCTTCGTTTTAGGGCTTAGGGCTTAGGGTTCAGGTTGATCGCAGATAGTTTGAGTTTTCGGCTTTAAAGCTTCTGGGGCTGAGGTTTCGTTTGGCCTGCAAGGCTGTTGCGTTGGGGGTTTAGGGTTTAGGGTTTAAGGGTTTAGGGTCGCAGTGCTTTGGAACGAGTTTTAGGCTTGTCGGGCGCTTTTGGGCTGTGCGGTTTCAGCTCACTACCGAGTCGCTGATTCGGAGCGAGCACGGGAACGCTTAGGATCCAAATCCTCAATCCCCAAACTCAAAAACCACGTACCTTAGGGCTTTCGGAGCACAGAGTCTGGAGTCGCAATAACGCCAAACTCTAGATTCTGCTCCGACACTTACTGTAGTTTAGGGTTTAGGGTTTAAGGTTTAGGGTTCAGGGTTTCAGGGTTTAGGGTTTAGGGTTTAGGGAAAACCCTGGAGCCAAACCCGAAGAAGGAGATGGAGCTTGAGCAGAAGTGTTCCTGGGAGCTGGGAGCACATGTCCTGCACTTCTAATACAACCCCAAACGGCCAGAAACCCCTTCATAACAGGGGTGCAAAACACACCAATATAGGGCCTTCGCAACCTCAATACAGTTTTGGGGGTCCATTCTAGTATAGTTATGTAAGGACGTTAGGGAATCCGGCTACTACTTCTTCCCCTAAACCTAAACCCTAAACCCTAAACCCTAAGATTGCGCGGCTTGTTTTGGACGAGCCAGGGCTCGACGGCTTGCAGGTCTGCGAGGCTTCGCCTCCACCTGCTGTCGACTTTATCTGGGCTTAGGGTTTAGGGTTTAGGGTTTAGGGTAGTTGTCAAAATTAGGGTCCCTTTTGGGGGTACCCTAAATAATAGGTGCCGTATTATAATAAGGACCCAAAAAGGGACCATAATTTTGACAACCACCCATCTGTGAAGAGCAGGGCCAGCCTCATTTCGAGCATTTACAAGCTTAGGGCTTACGGACAAAGATGGGTTCAGGATTTACGGCATCTGGGGTTACGGTCGTAGGCTTGTCGGCCAAGGTTCTTGTGGGATCCAGGCATTAGATTTTATGATTCGGGGTTTGGGGTTTACTTAGCGACCCTGTACCGCTTCGGGTGGCAGTGCTGCTTGCATAGAGGTTGCGCGGCCGTAAGCACAGTTTACGACGATTGCATCTTGGAATGCTCGTGTAGAATTCCATGTCAGGTTTGGGCGGGTGAGCTCTTGCCTGCCTAGTCTGCTTGCCGCGCAGCGCGCACCTTAGCCTTAGTCTGAACCCTAAACCCTAAACCCTAAACCCTACAAAACAATGCCTAAACCCAAACCCATATGGGAGTTTCCGAAAATAGGGGACCCTAATATAGTACCCTAAATAATAGGATCCTTACTATAAGGACCCCAAAATAAGGTACCCTAATTTTCGGAAACCCCCATATCTGAGTTTCCCGAAGCGTCTCGAAACCTTGCTCTGTCAAGGCTGGCCACCACACAGTGAAACTTCCCGGAAAGGTCGCAGCAGCGCTTCGGGCTGAATACCAGAAAGACTCCAGCAAGCTCCAAGAGCGATATTGAGTGTGGCTAAACACGATCATGGTCGATTTGCAACTACACCTGCGCGGATACATGTAAGCATGCGTGCATGCGCGGTTGTGTCGGCATGTGTATGTGTGTGCATGTGTGTGAATGTGTGTGAATGTGTGTGACTGTGTGTGACTGTGTGTGAAAGAGTGTGTGTGTGTGTGTGAATGCGTGAATGTGAATGAGCGTGTGCGCATGCATAAATGCGTTTGGTGAGAGTGAGCGTGAGAGTGAAAGTGCCATGAAAGAGCGAGAGAATGAGAGTGAGAGAGTGAGCGTGGGAGTGAGTGTGAAAGCGAGTGTGAGAGATATCGTGTGTGTGTTTGTGTTTTGCTTGGTTGTTGCTTGTGTGTTTTTTTCAACCTTCTGAACCCGAACTGTGGCAGGTCGGGGCAGTAGAGCAGTAGAGTGCTGCACTCACAACCCTCCCCTTGGCAGTTACCTATTCTTCGTTTGTATGCTTATTTGTTTGACCGTTTGCTGATTTGCTTGTGAGTTCGTCGGTTTGTTCGCATGTCCTCATTGTGGCCACTTGCATACCTGCGCATGCCTACAGACTCGCATGTATGTTCGTATACGCACATCTTGTATTACCTTGCTACCTGCATGTGTCCATGCATGTTCTTCGCATACATTTATGCACGCACACTGATGCGCATCCATGGGCGTTTGACTGTGCATTGTACATCCGCGTCCATTCATGCTTGGCTTGTGCAGCAGGTAGGAGTACGTGCATGCGTACAATGGCCAGAAACCTATCTGTGCACACACGAGTAAAGCTGTGTACCTTGTGACCCAATCCCGGCACACAGGATACCACATGCATGCCTGCACTACTGTAATACAGCACATATACGCGCTCGAACATCAAGACACAGACACATGCCTGTATGGAGCAGAAGTTGCAAGGTTTCTTCCACATGTACACCTGCATAGGTTCATCCGGTAGACCTGCGCTTGCACATGCGTGTGAACATGTGCATGCACACCCAAAGATCGAGGGGTAGACTGACTAAGGGGATTATGTTGTAGCTCAACCCTTCAGCACTCAGGACCTGCACCTCCGATGCGCGGCGTTAAAATGGTGGCTCATACAGCCAGAGGCGTCTCGGCATGCATCACGCTACACCACAACACATGCACAGACAAAAGCACCCCTGGAGTATTTAAAATCTACAAATTCCGACACACCCCAAATCCTAAACATCCTAGCCCCAGCCAGCAGCTTTGCTGACTGGCTGAAGGTTTCACAGCTCCGGCTCCATAGCACGAGTCTGGGCAACCCACTCCTTTGAGACTTCGTGTAACAGGGCTCGTTGTCATCATGGTGGTTAGTATCGGTACTACCTGCAGGTTGGGGTCTCAAGGCCCTCCAGCAGGATTGTCGTTGAGGAAACCAACAGAGGCTTTATGCCATGTACGGCAACGAGTAGTAGCGGCAGTAGTGGTGGGGTAGTAGTAGCAGTAGTAGCAGGAGTAGGAGTAG